TTACCATCTGTTTTAATAATATGTTCCAAACAAATTCTTCTGTTCACAATTACCCCACTCGTCAACGTCTAAATTTACATCACCCACTCTGTCGTTCAACTTCAATGTATAATTCTATATCATTTGTTGGGGTACGGGTTGGAATTCCTTGAATTATGACCTAAGATCCAGTTCTACAATTACCAGATTTAAATCAATGTATAACAAAAGTATTTTTCAATCCATGGTTGAGTAAGTACTTCTTTTTCCCATCTTTTTTCTACTTTTATCTCTTTCTGCCCCATTTTCGCTTCCTTCTATTCTTTCTCTGTAACCTTTATGAACGTGCGTGTGTTTTGATGTACGGGTGCGTACTTGTATTATTTAAGTCCTTTACTTTGTATTGTTAATTTATGTGCATTATCTTGTTATTGTTTGTTTGGAGGGCCCCGATTACAAGCAGATTTCTGCTTCTTAGGGGTCCTAACCATTATATTGTATATTGTATATTGTATTTTCATTGTAAATTGTTTTTATACTGGTTAAATAAATGAAATGAAATGAAATGAAATATATATATATATATGAGTCCTCAATTCACACCGTTTTCACCATTATGTATGTGTATATATGTATGTATTCAATAAGTCTAAAAAATATCTCGACCTTCGTGTACCCCCCCAAACAAAAAATAAAGAAAAAACAAATGGAAATAAAACTTTAAAAAATGTTCTATGAATTTATTTTACATACATCGACCCAAGCCAAGATCTAACGGTGTTGAAACAAAAAAGGCTATACGTAAATAAATTAATAAACAATAGCGAAGTAATTTTTTTATAAATCTTGAGAAGTCTAAACTTTAAACTATTTAAATGGTCTTTGCCAACTGGACATGCTGATAAAACAATACCATCGATATGAGATATTTCCTCTCAAGTATTGAACAAAATTTAACTAAGCTTACAAATTGAAAGGTAGGCACATTTATCATTTTCTTTAAAATAAAAACATAAATATGAAATTTCGCAAATAATGTAAATAGTAAGTGTTTTGTACATTTTGTATTGATACATTAAAGGTAATAAAAAGTTTATTCATGGGGTCATGGATTTGGGTCAAATAAACATATTTGAAGCATATGCGATCCTACAATATTCAGTGATCGTTGTCGCGGTTGAAATCAAATCTTAAGGGATGGAATTATAAACAATTTACTCTTTATGTTGTATAGGTCCCTCTCAAGGTTAAGATATGAATAAATCTAAAGCTTTTGTCTTGACTCTAATCGACCGATTTGAAAATTATGAATCACAACTACATATTCTGAGATTGGCATGGTCGCAGCTTCCATTGTAAGGCCGTAGGAGCTATTTGAAATTCATCAAACTTTAACGGGAGCACCGGTAAATTTTTATATTCAATTTTTCTCGAAAGCAGAAGTGTTTTAGGAGCTAAATCTTCTATTGATAGTAATACATCCACAGGGGCATCCAAATATATCAAAATTGTAGAGAATCACTACACACCCAATTTTCAAAATTTTCCAAAACTTTGTATTACCTTTAATGAAATTTGAATATGAATGATAATATACCGTTTGGTTGTGGAATATATTTACACATTCATTTTTACGTATTATACTATTTTTTTAAACAAGAGAGTGACATGACGTATGCAGTTTTTGTTTACTACATTGTAACAAAGGCAAGGATGTATACGAACATGTACGTGACGTACCACAGAGAAGGAAGCATGAATTGCCTACATGCCCCTGATTCTATATGAGATTCTATTTTGGGCGTGGGAGTGGTTTCAGGGCGTTGATTAACAGGCCTACTGTTGTTGTTAGTAACAAATGTAGGCACAGTATTAACAATCTGTGATGAAGTTTCTTTGTCGTGCATGTCAGGTGGCCACTCGAAGTCATTGCACATTGTTTTACTCAAATTTAAAGTTAAATCATGTGAGCAACACGAGAAATGAGTGTTATCAGGTAGCAAGAAAATACCAATGGTAACTTGGCCATTATCTGTAATATCACCCCTGATGTCAATCTTCTGATCATTCTGGTAACATGATAGTGTGGTTGTAACGCTTCCAGTGTTGGCATGACATCGTACTTCATAGGGATAATCAACATTTCCACTTAAAGTGATGTAGCAATTTGCTCGTCCGGGGGGAATTTGTACAACAATCTCCTTCATTATAGTTTCATGCCTAACGTTTACAAAACTATGCCAGACTGCCGTTAATATGTACCCATCCTCGTCTAGAGTATCAACGTTATCTATGTTCAGATTCACGCAAGGAGAGGTGTCTAAATCTGTGACTGAGGTGGAAAATCTTGGTAACTGGGATGGATTTTTAAAGCCCTCGATATCAACTTCTCCGTTAATGCAGAATGGACGACGCTGGGATTCGAATCGAAGTGTAAAATATGGATCACCATAAGATGTACTATTAGGTACCCATTGGACATGGAATGGGACCATACCAGGTTTACCTGATTGTAGCGTTACCCGTTCGGTGCTATCGCTCCCTGCTACGAGAACGGGACTTCCTGCAAGAATGATGGCCAAAGTGATAATCATCTGCAGGAAAGTTTGTACGAGGGCCAGGATTGAAGGACAGCGGTCAACCGATGTTCGACGTTTGGTCTAAATCAAGAGGGTATGAATTTGAAAGAGAACGTCTTTGATATTGACAAAGTCATGGAATATCTCATCCAGCAAGGATCCGTTATGAACAATAAAGATGGGGGGGGGACACTATTCATTGCTGCCATTCAATGTTTTGCAAGGAAATAAGTGAAACTTCTCAATATATGGGAATGATTGAATGATATTAATTTCTAAACCCCCCGATAACGATTAACAAATATAACGAGGCAGTAAAAATATGAATTTATAATAATGAATGCCTTCCTTAACAAGTCGTTTCACTACAAGGTTACTCATGTAGTTTCACTCATCATTAAAACTACTGATAAGGGTAAATGGTTGACTGTTTCTTCACAAATATAATCTAAATATTCTGGTAGTGTCCTTTAAAAAAAAGTCCTCATATAAGTTTTGTTTTGCACAGAGGCAGAACGATAATCTATTTTTATCATAAGCTTGTTATTCTATTTCATAACTTCATTAGCAAATTATTTAGAAATAATAAATGCTTCCCTCTTACCCCGATTTTCCAGACTGGGTTTGAGGAGGTTCCTTGGATGGAGACAGGGTTTTCGTCATACAACTTTTGATGAACGACAGCTGGTGGGTGTGTAGGGAAGCTGTTAAATTTAATGTTTGAAATTAGTGGTAGCTGAATCAGATGTAAGCAGACACCAAAATAAGCCGATCAAATTGGGTCCCTAGTAGCGTCTACTCAGATGATGATATTTCTTGCCCATTATTAAACAGATAGATCTGTAATATACAAATGTATGTATGACCGTTTACAAATAGACCTACATGTACATTTAAACTAAAGACAGGGGGGGGGGGGGAAAGTAAATTCCGGCAAAATTTTTACTGGCACTATGTGTATATATATATATATATATATATATACACCTTTCACCTGCACACCTGGGCATCCCTATGTCACACATATGCACTTTATCTGCAAGAATCTTCAGCAGTGAAGGAGGCGGATTATCTTAAAGAAGAAGAAGAAAGCCCACACATGGCCAAGGAGAAAAAAAAACAGATTTAAAATATTGACCCCAACAGTACCCTGTCTACCGCATCAGGTCTTGTTTCACTGTTCTATAGCTTCTGTAGGATCAAGTCCAGGAAGGTAAAATATCCACAAGTGCTCAAATCCTGCCAATAGGTGATGTCATTCAGTTTACGTACATAATGCTTTTTTTCGTAAACTTTTATTCATGTACATTATGAAGAATATACAGAATAATTCTGAGTAATCAATAAACATGAAGAAAACTGTTGTAATTAATGCTCGTTCTACGAATAAAGTTTGTTCATATAAAAGAAACGGAAAGTGACTAGTACCTCTCAAACTTCATGGATGTTTCGTTGATTTGTAGATCATTTCCAGCATTCATCGGTGAAGAGGATTTCTGACGGGGAAAATTAATTACATCATAGAAAAGGTCATATTAGAGTGATGTGAAGGATATTAACAGAGAAGACATACTGGCGATAATTAGTTATGGTTAGCACGGATGCTCTAGGAGGAATTAGACAAAACAACGAGTTCGACAAACTTTAAAATACACGCATAAAATGAGAACGTTATTGTTTCTTACAACAGAAATAACTGACCATTGAGTATAATAGTATTACATGTACGTTTTCATTCATTTGAGTCAATTTCTTATGCATAGGTGTGTCGGTAGCAACATATATTACCTAATCTTTATCAAAGGGCTATGTACAAAAGGTCTTTAATTTTGCTTTATACGAATCTTTGTTTTTCATCTCTATAATGACAATACAATTGGCTGAATGGTTGCTTCCAAACAAATCTGTATTTGCCATTATCTTTTCTATCCAAAGATTCATTCAAATATGTGCTTTGTTGAGATAAAAACTACTCACTCTTATTTCCCTCTTTTCGTAAATTCGTGAGCGACCTCTGGATTCCGGTTCTTCAGACAGATGATCGTCAGTCTCCATAGTTTGTAGAGAGGTTGGATCGAATCCGCTGTATTGCCACGTCTGATGTCTATGCAGGGAAGAACAGTCTGTACCATTTGTTAAGGTGGCTCTTTTCCTTGTCACTGGGCTCTTTATTGCGTCTATTTGATCTAACATCCGATCTTGTTCACCTTTGTCAGGATATTTCAGCTTAGCGTGAATGAAAGGACTGCGTTCCTCATTGACGCCTTTTCCAACATAATGGGTCCTCGTGGAAAGATTCTTTAAGGTGAGTTCATCAGCTTCTCTCTTCACATTATTAGCTTGAGTGCAGTTATTACCCTCCTCTACCTTGTCTACCAGAGATTCTAACTGTCCTCTACGTGACTGTGTGTCTACATCCTTCAGTGTTACCGTCCCAAATACTCAATTCTGGTGGCCACCGGATCGTGGTTTTGCTGTTTCTTCTTCATCTGGGTCACGTCTATATGATGAAATTCCCTGTATTGCATTCAAATGGCCTGCGTCCACAGCTACCTGAAGCGGCGTCAAACCATCGATGTCTTTCACGTTCATGTCTGCCCCATTCAATATAAGGTAATCGACTATGTCTTGGTGGCCTTCTTGTGCAGCAGCATGGAGTGGTGACCATCCATCATCATCTTGTTCATTGACATTAGAATTCTGAAGGAGCAGGTATTTAACGATATCTGTGTTACCATTATAACATGCTGCATGGAGAGGGAATTTGCCGCATTCGCTTCTTTCGTTCACATCATATCCTTTAGAGACAAGGAATTTTACCACATCGATGTGGTCATACTGTGTTGCGATGTAAAGTGGGGTCAATCCATCAAACCTGGTAACCTCAGCTCCTTTCGCCATTAGAAATTGTACAACTTCTAATTGACCATATTGTACAGCAGCATTCAATGGAGTCCACCCCTTGGCATCACCCTTGTTCACATCAGATCCTTGCTGAATGAGATATTGCATGACTTCAGCGTTACCGTGAATAGCTGCACTGTGGAGAGCAATCATCCCTTTGTCATCTTCTTCGTTCACATCAGTACCATCATGTATGAAGAATTTGACGAAATCTAAATGACCAAATTGAGCTGCGGCATAGAGTTGGGTCATACCAACATATCTGTTCTGCTTCGCTCCTTTAGACATGAGATATTTGCCTGCATCTAATTGACCATATTGTACAGCAGCATTCAATGGAGTCCACCCCTTGGCATCACCCTTGTTCACATCGGATCCTTGCTGAATGAGATATTCCATGACTTCAGCGTTACCGTGAATAGCTGCACTGTGGAGAGCAATCATCCCGTCATCATCTTCTTCGTTCACATCAGCATCCTTGGATATGAAGAATTCGACGATGTCTAAATGACCAAATTGAGCTGCGGCATAGAGTGGGGTCATACCAACATATCTGTTCTGCTTCGCTCCTTTAGACATGAGATATTTGACTACTTCTAATTGACCATATTGTACAGCAGCGTTGAATGGAGTCCAGCCGATGGCATCACCCTTGTTTTCATCAGATCCTTGCTGAATGAGATATTCCATGACTTCAGCGTTACCATTAATAGCCGCACCATGGAGAGGAAGAATCCCTTTGTCATCTTCTTCGTTCTTATCAGCTCCCTTTGAAATGAAGAATTTGACGATGTCTAAATGACCAAAATGGGCTGCGGCATATAGTGGGGTCATGCCAACATATCTGTTCTGCTTCGCTCCGTTAGACATGAGACATTTGACGGCTTCTAGGTGGCCCTCTTGAACGGCAGCGTTAAATGCCGTCCACCCAGTGTCATCTTCCCTGTTCACATCAGATCCTTGCTGAATGAGATATTCCATGACTTTTGTGTGGCCTCAAATAGCTGCACTGTGGAGAGGAATCATTTCTTTGTCGTCTTCTTCGTTCACATCAGCTCCTTTGGATATGAAGAATTTAACGATGTCTAAATGACCAAAACGTGTTGCAGCATAGAGTGGGGTCATACCAACATATTTGTTCTGCTTCGCTCCTTGAGTCATGAGCAATTTGACGGCATCCAAATGGCCATATTCAACGGCAGCATTGAAAGGTGTCCTGCCCATGGTATCACCCTTGTTCACATCGGAACCTTGCTGAATGAGATATTCCATGATATCTATGCTACCGTTAAAAGTTGCACCATGGAGAGGAATCATTCCTTTGTCATCTTTCTCGTTCACATCAGCTCCTTTCAAAATGAAGTATTTGACGACATCAAAATTGCCATATTCTGCTGCGGCGTAGAGTGGGGTCATCCCATCATATCTGTTCTGCTTCGCTCCTTCAGTCAAGAGACATTTGACGGCTCCTAGATGGCCCTCTAGAACGGCAGCATTGAATGCTGTCCAACCAGTATTATCTTTCTTGTTCAAATCAGATCCTTGCTGAATGAGATATTCCATGACTTTCAAGTGGCCTCCAGCAGCTGAACCATGGAGAGGAATCCTCCCTTTGTCGTCTTCTTCGTTCACATCAGCTCCGCTGGATATGAAGAATTTGACTATATCTAAATGACCAACTTGTGCTGAAGCATAGAGTGGAGTCATACCAGCATAACTGTTCTGCTTCGCTCCTTTAGTCATGAGGTATTTGATAGCATCCAAATTGCCACATTGAACGGCAGCGTTGAATGATGTCCCGCCCATGGTATCACCCTTGTTCACATCGGAACCTTGCTGAATGAGATATTCTATGATATCTATGCTACCGTTAAAAGTTGCACCATGGAGAGGTATCGTTCCTTTGACATCTTCCTCGTTCACATCAGCTCCTTTCAAAATGAAGTATTTGACGACATCCAAATTACCATATTCTGCTGCGGCGTAGAGTGTGGGGTCATTCCATCATATATGTTCTGCTTCGCTCCTTTAGTCATGAGGTACTCGACGGCTCCTAGATGGCCATATTTAACAGCAGCATTGAATGGTGTCCAACCCTTGACATCTGCCTTGTTGACATCAGATCCTTGCTGAATGAGATATTCCATGACTTCAGCGTTACCATTAATAGCCGCACCATGGAGAGGAAGAATCCCTTTGTCATCTTCTTCGTTCTTATCAGCTCCCTTTGAAATGAAGAATTTGACGATGTCTAAATGACCAAAATGGGCTGCGGCATATAGTGGGGTCATGCCAACATATCTGTTCTGCTTCGCTCCGTTAGACATGAGACATTTGACGGCTTCTAGGTGGCCCTCTTGAACGGCAGCGTTAAATGCCGTCCACCCAGTGTCATCTTCCCTGTTCACATCAGATCCTTGCTGAATGAGATATTCCATGACTTTTGTGTGGCCTCAAATAGCTGCACTGTGGAGAGGAATCATTTCTTTGTCGTCTTCTTCGTTCACATCAGCTCCTTTGGATATGAAGAATTTAACGATGTCTAAATGACCAAAACGTGTTGCAGCATAGAGTGGGGTCATACCAACATATTTGTTCTGCTTCGCTCCTTGAGTCATGAGCAATTTGACGGCATCCAAATGGCCATATTCAACGGCAGCATTGAAAGGTGTCCTGCCCATGGTATCACCCTTGTTCACATCGGAACCTTGCTGAATGAGATATTCCATGATATCTATGCTACCGTTAAAAGTTGCACCATGGAGAGGAATCATTCCTTTGTCATCTTTCTCGTTCACATCAGCTCCTTTCAAAATGAAGTATTTGACGACATCAAAATTGCCATATTCTGCTGCGGCGTAGAGTGGGGTCATCCCATCATATCTGTTCTGCTTCGCTCCTTCAGTCAAGAGACATTTGACGGCTCCTAGATGGCCCTCTAGAACGGCAGCATTGAATGCTGTCCAACCAGTATTATCTTTCTTGTTCAAATCAGATCCTTGCTGAATGAGATATTCCATGACTTTCAAGTGGCCTCCAGCAGCTGAACCATGGAGAGGAATCCTCCCTTTGTCGTCTTCTTCGTTCACATCAGCTCCGCTGGATATGAAGAATTTGACTATATCTAAATGACCAACTTGTGCTGAAGCATAGAGTGGAGTCATACCAGCATAACTGTTCTGCTTCGCTCCTTTAGTCATGAGGTATTTGATAGCATCCAAATTGCCACATTGAACGGCAGCGTTGAATGATGTCCCGCCCATGGTATCACCCTTGTTCACATCGGAACCTTGCTGAATGAGATATTCTATGATATCTATGCTACCGTTAAAAGTTGCACCATGGAGAGGTATCGTTCCTTTGACATCTTCCTCGTTCACATCAGCTCCTTTCAAAATGAAGTATTTGACGACATCCAAATTACCATATTCTGCTGCGGCGTAGAGTGGGGTCATTCCATCATATATGTTCTGCTTCGCTCCTTTAGTCATGAGGTACTCGACGGCTCCTAGATGGCCATATTTAACAGCAGCATTGAATGGTGTCCAACCCTTGACATCTGCCTTGTTGACATCAGATCCTTGCTGAATGAGATATTCCATGACTTCAGCGTTACCATTAATAGCCGCACCATGGAGAGGAAGAATCCCTTTGTCATCTTCTTCGTTCTTATCAGCTCCCTTTGAAATGAAGAATTTGACGATGTCTAAATGACCAAAATGGGCTGCGGCATATAGTGGGGTCATGCCAACATATCTGTTCTGCTTCGCTCCGTTAGACATGAGACATTTGACGGCTTCTAGGTGGCCCTCTTGAACGGCAGCGTTAAATGCCGTCCACCCAGTGTCATCTTCCCTGTTCACATCAGATCCTTGCTGAATGAGATATTCCATGACTTTTGTGTGGCCTCAAATAGCTGCACTGTGGAGAGGAATCATTTCTTTGTCGTCTTCTTCGTTCACATCAGCTCCTTTGGATATGAAGAATTTAACGATGTCTAAATGACCAAAACGTGTTGCAGCATAGAGTGGGGTCATACCAACATATTTGTTCTGCTTCGCTCCTTGAGTCATGAGCAATTTGACGGCATCCAAATGGCCATATTCAACGGCAGCATTGAAAGGTGTCCTGCCCATGGTATCACCCTTGTTCACATCGGAACCTTGCTGAATGAGATATTCCATGATATCTATGCTACCGTTAAAAGTTGCACCATGGAGAGGAATCATTCCTTTGTCATCTTTCTCGTTCACATCAGCTCCTTTCAAAATGAAGTATTTGACGACATCAAAATTGCCATATTCTGCTGCGGCGTAGAGTGGGGTCATCCCATCATATCTGTTCTGCTTCGCTCCTTCAGTCAAGAGACATTTGACGGCTCCTAGATGGCCCTCTAGAACGGCAGCATTGAATGCTGTCCAACCAGTATTATCTTTCTTGTTCAAATCAGATCCTTGCTGAATGAGATATTCCATGACTTTCAAGTGGCCTCCAGCAGCTGAACCATGGAGAGGAATCCTCCCTTTGTCGTCTTCTTCGTTCACATCAGCTCCGCTGGATATGAAGAATTTGACTATATCTAAATGACCAACTTGTGCTGAAGCATAGAGGAGTCATACCAGCATAACTGTTCTGCTTCGCTCCTTTAGTCATGAGGTATTTGATAGCATCCAAATTGCCACATTGAACGGCAGCGTTGAATGATGTCCCGCCCATGGTATCACCCTTGTTCACATCGGAACCTTGCTGAATGAGATATTCTATGATATCTATGCTACCGTTAAAAGTTGCACCATGGAGAGGTATCGTTCCTTTGACATCTTCCTCGTTCACATCAGCTCCTTTCAAAATGAAGTATTTGACGACATCCAAATTACCATATTCTGCTGCGGCGTAGAGTGGGGTCATTCCATCATATATGTTCTGCTTCGCTCCTTTAGTCATGAGGTACTCGACGGCTCCTAGATGGCCATATTTAACAGCAGCATTGAATGGTGTCCAACCCTTGACATCTGCCTTGTTGACATCAGATCCTTGCTGAATGAGATATTCCATGACCTCTATGTTCCCGTTAATAGCTGCACCGTGAAGAGGAATTTTCCCTTTGTCATCTTCTTTGCTCACCTCAACTCCTTTGGATATGAAGAATTTGACGATGTCTAAATTACCAATATTCTGTTGCGGCGTAGAGTGGGGTCATTCCATCATACATGTTCTGCTTCGCTCCTTTAGTCATGAGGTACTCGACGGCTCCTAGATGGCCATATTTAACAGCAGCATTGAATGGTGTCCAACCCTTGACATCTGCCTTGTTGACATCAGATCCTTGCTGAATGAGATATTCCATGACCTCTATGTTCCCGTTAATAGCTGCACCGTGAAGAGGAATTTTCCCTTTGTCATCTTCTTTGCTCACCTCAACTCCTTTGGATATGAAGAATTTGACGATGTCTAAATAACCATATCGTGCTGCGGCAAAGAGTGGGGTCATACCATCATATATATTCTGCTTCGCCCCTTTAGCTATGAGATATTTGACAGCTTCTAGATGGCCGTATCGAACGGCAGCATTGAATGAAGTCCACCCGGTGTTTTCCTCCTTGTTTATATCAGATCCTTGCTGAATAAGATATGCCATGATTTTTATGTTACCGTTAAAAGCAGCGTCATGGAGAGGAATCATTCCGTTGTCATCTTTCTCGTTCACGTCAGCTCCTTTCAAAATTAAGTATTTGACGACATCCAAATTACCAAATTCTGCTGCTGCAAAGAGTGGGGTCATTCCATCATATATGTTCTGCTGCGCTCCTTTAGTCATGAGATATTTGACGGCTCCTAGATGGCCATATTGAACGGCAGCATTGAATGGTGTCCCCCCTGTTGTATCTTCCTTGTTCACATTAGCGCCTTCTGCGATAAGACTATCCATGATACAAGTATAGCCACTGGATGCTGCTGTATGAAGAGGAGTCTGACCCAAGTCACATCCGACATGCACGTCCGCTCCCTGCAGGATGAGGAAGTCAACGATGTGTGTATGTCCTTCTTGAGTAGCTGCATGAAGAGGACGGAGTCCACCCTTACTTGGTTTATTTGGGTTTGCTCCCTGTGAAATGAGATCGTCAACATCTTCGAGATGACCTTCTAAAGCTGCCTTGTAGAGCTGCGTGTATCCTTCCTCATCCATCTGGTCTATGTCAGGATTGAATGGTAGCTTTCGTTTGCACACTCTGGTATCACTTAGAGATATTTCATTTAGTGTATTATACATTGCATACCAAGCGTCATTCGTATCCGTCTCAATGATTTTCATAATTTCTGCTGGCTGCAGAGGACATATGTGTTCGTCCAAAGGGACGTACTTGTCATCAGCAGATGTGTTGGTATCGAGGGACACAGGAGCGTCGAGTGATAGTTCTGGATTTCCATCCTCTATATCTGCATCAGGTCGTAGTGATGTAGGCGTATTAGACGGTACACTATCTCCTCCATATGTATGCTCTTCCTGTGCTTCATTGTGTTCAGTATTCAAGACAAGTAATGTGTATTGTGGTGGTACGTTTTGCAGCGATGTGATCAGCGGTATTGTGGTTCCCTTGGGTCTATAACAAAAGGGAGATTTCTGTCGTTGTACTTTAAATTATATTATGGAATTTAAATGTTTAAGTTTTAGTATCCATTGTGTCATTTGATTTTTACTTGTTCGAATTCTAGTCTAAAAGAAAGAGACTAAAATGAAAACAATAAATTGAAATCAGATTTTGTTTGTATCATGAACACGAACATTTTAAGTACAAGCAATTGAAAATAGACAATACATATTACATGATGTCATTCGAGATCAACTGACACCATATTCGGAGGAGGGTGAGAGAGGGGGAGGGAGAGAGGTTTCATATCTGGGATGTAACATTTCAAGTCCCTTCCTGCGTATTGATATCTCATTAACTAGTTATGTATCTACCAGATTAGATCATAGTTTATTAAAGTCCCTGTGGATATTTATTTTTAAAGAAAACTGGAAACAAGTGTACGCATTTAGTCGATATCGATTCGTTATGAACAATGTGAGATTTTTAAATAAAATTTAATATCAAAAGATGGAGGTGAGTTCAGTCCCATCATTAGTAAAAGGCGTATTAAGTAACATAACACAAATTTACAGTTTTTAAACCCAACCATGCCAACGGTTTGTTATGCAACGTTTACACTATGTTCCCGGCGGCCACTGCTGCCCCTTTTGCCCGAAACGTAGTGCGCCAAGTTTTCTCACGGTTTATCACGATTTCCATGACGGGCCATGGGAGGGAAAGGGGATACTGCCCTGGAGACTCCAAGGCACACTACGGTTCGGCCTGCGGTCGACCACGGATGCCATTACGTTCCCTGTCGGTCCGTCACGTTCTGATGGGGTCCCTCACGTTTCGTACGTTTTGAT